TCCATCAACACTTCAGCGTTTCAACTTCAAAGGGTTCTTCAAATTATCCTTCAGTGGTGTGTGCCTTCAAGACAGCGCTGTTTTCCCCACGATGGCTTAATTCCCTCCTGTTTCCAAAAGGTCAAAGTCGATACTCACTTGACATCCCAGAAGGTTGAATTCGGTGTTTACAGAACCGTGAAGGTAGAGTAGTGAATCTGTATGCGTGTTTTACCAGTAACCTTCGCTTTTTCCTTAACTGCGGAGGTCACCATTTATGCTGATTTACTACTTTACCTTCAAACTACAGTAAATACCGAGTTTGACCTTCTGGGAAGAAAGAAGCATTGAATGGAGCCATTCCCGATCTTAGGTTAAGTTTAACAGAGCGTGTAAGTACGATAGTAAATCGAGTCTGCAGATGCGATTTTTACGAGTTCGTTGAATCTGTTTGGTTGTGAGACGAGAAAAAACAACAGAGAAGAAATCCTAGCAAATTAGTCGGGGAAGTTCGACGCGAAATTCAATTACGACCGACTTCCACTATGTGGGATTTCCTCGGCAAATCATTAAATTACTACGACAATCCAATTTTGATGCAAAATCCGGTGTTTGAACGGGAATAGCAATGGAGGGAGAACGCTGAGGTATAGATTGATATCTATGAAGCTGGAGGAAGATGGATCAGCAACAGAGGGATCAAAAATGGCCACTCACACTGATGTGGGCCATGAATGGGAACTCTGCCCGAATCTCAAAAACATTCAACAACAAGAGGTCTTACTACACTGGATGTCATTGTAATATCTTGAACTTAAATCGAGCTCGACAATAAATTGTTCGACTTACATTTTGGTAAACTCACCGCTTCGGAATCCAAAAAGATGCAGGTAGTGATCGGTTCTCAACCCACCAACTCCGACAATAGCGAATTGGCTGAAAGACCAACCAATCGAGCTATTGCTGAGCTTGGCCTTCTCGTAACGCTTTACTATTTACTAATTCGTTTATCAGCATCTTCATTGACAAAGAAGGACGGTGGTGCCGGGATTATCTGAGGTGAAGACACCTCTCGTCAGTGTTTGCGGGTATAGGGCAGCAGGTGCCGCTGTTTGAGGCTTCCTCGGCACGGTGGCACTTGCTCACGATGACCAGCCACGACATTCGTGTCAAGACCCATCATCATTGAGGCTGAGTTTGACACCCCGGTATCAACAAATGACAACGGCAACGGCATTCGCTTCACACCTGCTGATTGCATGCTTTTCCTCCCACGAGTCCGTCACTTGTGAGGTAACCTGCAAGCCCCAAGAATCCACTACGTCGGGTGTTCTACATCTCAATTACGAAGGGAATCAGTACGTTTTTGAATAAGTCCCTCTTTCCTTGCTTTGTGAGCAGCATACACCGACAGCTCTTTTACTTCCTACTTTACTTCAAGGTCTGCAGCTTTAATAAGACCTGTAGCCTTTTTCTATCCATGACGTCCTCAGGGGCGACCTCGATGTCAGCGAGGCTCTAAACACCTCTTCACCTCCTCTTTAGGGCTCCCCGTCTCCCGTGCATGGCGCATCAGAATCCAGTGACCCCTTTCTTACTAGTTAATTCTGTGGTCCTCTTTGAGAAGACAGAAGGTCGCCACCGCCGTTTCTTTTCCCCTCAGTTGGACAGAAGCGATTTCCCTGACCATTACTATGTCGTCATTCGTGGCCATGGCCACGAAGACAATGCGAAATAGTGGTGTTGAGCTCATAACGTCAAGCACTTTACAACTCTTTATAGCTCTCATAGGTGTTTGGAGATTTGGAAGAAGCGCGCAGAAAAAACGGGCGTTCTGGGCAAAGCGATGTCCAGCAGGTGTTTCGGTTGACGAGCGTTGTCGCCCTTTGAGTGACATGTGGACACTTTTTGAGGGTCTTGTGAGGAAATGTTGCACAGCATGTTGTAAAGTGCATACATCATACTCCACGATCCGGTTCACTACGAACCATATTGTTCGTCACGATTAGCGAAAAACTAGGGGAGCACAACAAAGTCGATAGTGGTACGGGAAGGAATCTCCCAGTTTTAGTGAACCCGACTACACGAATTTTTCCAGACCCACCGCCACCGCTATGTCAACAAAACCTATAATGATCTTCGAGAAATTGAATTGACAACGAGTAGGAATGCACGACTATTTGAGACAGGCGCTACAACATAAAATCCTCCATAAAATCCTCCGCCGTTCCTCTCGAAAAAGCGAAAAAGTTGATATTCCTAAAGGTAATTTCACCCGATGCCCCCGAAACGTCGCGGAGAGGTTCTGCCGAAGGGGGGAGGGGCTCAAAAGTTTTCTAAAAAGCAGTCGAAACACTCTCCGGTTAAAAAGTCGTGTTTGTGGTCACCCAGTCCTACCAATAGTTGGGCTAAGCGTGATCTAAAACATTTTTCAACAGCCCCATGTCTCAAAAAGCCTAAACTGATGAAAACTTCGACAAAACTTTTCAAAATTCGCTTTTTTCTCACGAACCTCGTGCTACTGCTAGGGAAGTTTTTGGAGAGCTAGGCCAGAAGACCTTGTCTCGGCCTGTTTTTCACTGAACAACGCTCAAATTTCAAACGCTCGCTTCTGTCCTGAGAGCTTATCGGTTTCGGAAGATCACATGATAACTATATGGTTACTAGATAGAAGAATTCACCAGGCAAAAGATGAACCATAGAAAAATGTTTTGACTTGATCTTTTGTTGACTGCTGTACGCGATCGGAGGTCTCACAGGGTTGGAGTTATGGGCAAAACATCGGCCTCGGATGGCACTCGAACCCGCACTTGTGCTGGCGAGGCACCGAGAGATTATTTCGATGGCAACATGATGTCCAACTGAAAGCGGTTTAGAGAGAGGCTCGATTATGGGTGACAATGTTGCAAGCCTCAGTTTTCAGAATTGGTAAATAGATCCGACCATAGGAGTAGGAGTTGATGGGTTCGGCGACGATACAGTACCTTATGCAGTAAAATCCTATGGAAACTAGAAGCAGCCCCTTTGGAACTTCTATGAGCAGATGCAATTTATGGCTTTGGTCAGTTCAATCTTCGTTAAAATCACGTTAAAGGCACCGTTTACGATAAATTTAGGGTACCCTTTTTTGAAGGGAATTCATAGAACTACTCTATAATAAAGCGATAACAACAAAAAAGCGCAAAAAACGATGAACAAAAAGAAATAGAAAGGATCAAAAAAGAGCTGGAAAGGGGGGTCGGACGAGTTTCACATTGGAAGAACGGCGGTAAAGGGAGTGTTCGGCCGAGTGCACGAAGGCGACGCAATGTCTGCAATAGCAGATAACACAGCCAAGCAGACAACTTCGCTCCAATGCGAAAGTGATGAACGGCAATTAGATTTCGTAGTCAGCCTAGCGAGGGACGGAGGGCGACCGTGGCTCACTCTCCGGCCCCTTATTGTGCCCTATCCAGACCGTTTTCCGACCTCATTCCTGCACAAATGGTATCAGAGAGGGCGTCGAATTCAAACCATGTGCAAATCTCCGGAACCATTTTTTCGTGAACAGTGCCTTTAAGTTTAAAAATTTTGGATTTAGGTGATATAATAACATAACGCGGCTCCCGACGAGCATGAATGGTTGGCTTAGAATGAGTTCATTCTAGACTAGAACGCACACTGAACCTCCTCTCAGGATTATACACATACTACGTCTGATTTTGTGTATCTGAAGGCAATAACTAAAGAAAAAACGGCAGTTCCGCGAAGCCTAAGTATAAGAACTCAGGATGTGAGCCATACACTCGGTTCGGAGCTCGTTAATGTGCATAGCTGCTCGTAAAAATTGTGGACTTAAAAATTCCTCAACTTGCGCCCACAGCTCATATTGCCGTCTAAATCATTTTTCGGTTGCTCGCCTGTCAGCTGATGGATTTTAAAATCAAGCACCATACCTAAATCTGCATCACATTGGTACAGGAGTGAATGGAATGTTCTAAATAATAAAGGGTGAAGGATGAAGTCTTTGGGCGTCAATCAACCCCGCCTGAGGAATGCGCCCCGCACACGACTTTGAATCAGGATCGTAGTGGCGTATTGAATGGGTATGTGGCCTATACAATGGCTTGCGGTGGCCAGCACATGTACAAATCAGTGCTTTTAACCTCTCAGACTCGCCTGATACCAATTAATCGACCCCGGAAGGATGGAAGGTCTAGTTGAATTCGATCCAGGATTCAAACCCCATTCATCACCGCCGCCGTATGAGAATGAATTTGAAAAAAAGCTTTAATATCAACAATAATCTGATGAAAGCTATTTTGAAAGGTATCGATGTAGTGACAGAGGTTAAACATTGTTTCTGATTGTATATTTCATCGCAACCATATAATTGTTCCCAAGTAGTGATAATATGTGGTCATACTATCAACGTTAGCAGTATACCTGAAAATGTTGTAACATCAGGTACTGCAAAGTTTTCCGTCCATTTCCTAGGTCTCCATAGGCTCTGCCTGAGCGTTCTCTATGACCACTCTTTAAAGCAAAAGGACACAACCAGTGTCAACTTCGACAGAGAACCTTTCTATGTGGGCATCCCATCGTGGGTTGGTCGAACGAGGGTACGCAATAGCGATCAACGAGAAAAAATGGCAAGCGCAGGGGAGGTGACCATATGGCCCTTATTTGCACTTCAGATTGCGTTCTACTAGATGGTTCTGAGCTCTACTAATAAAGGAAAATATCAAAGACGAATCAGCCGATTCCAAGTGCCCTATTTTTGATAAGCAGAACTTGTAGGGGCTAAGGAATGAACCATATATTGCCGAACATGTCACTCATAATAGCCCATCTTATTTCATGGACGCCTTTGAAGGAGAAAAGACTAGATGGGCAACGACCCGGTGCCGAAGTATGTACATGCCTTGTGGTGCGATGCTCTGTAGCTGAGTGTGACCCTGCTGACACCATTTCTGAAGGCGTTTGGTAGTTCTCGACCATTTAGTCTTTTTATAGAAACAACTTGGTTACTGGTGGTCAGATCAGGTGAAGGTGAATAGCGTGGAACGTGGAGTAGAAGTGAACTTACAGACGATTCCTGCAGCAACGGTGATTATCAATGGAGTATAGAGTTGGCTGAGATCCGTTTCCGGCAACCGAACCAATTTTTCATCATGTTCACGAATATGTATCACTCTGGATTCACGCTGAAACTTTCCTGTGGCTGACTAAGAACTCAAACATATCAGCGAATTACATAGGATATGTGTGACAGACGTAAGCCTTCCTATGTAATTAGTGCGCACGTTGTTATCGATTTTACGCGCGCGCAAAAGATACCCATTTACCACTAGTGACGGTGATTGGAAGTATGACTGCCCGTGCCGTTTAGAAGCGGTGAGAACGAAAACGATGAATAAAAGCCAACTAACTTTTGCGATACATGGCTCGTACTCGCCGGTTTTCTCATTCTTGCACATGTCTCTATACGGTTTGAATGGTGCTCGTATGGAAGGCGTACCGCAGGGGCATGGATTGAAACATGGAACGTATTTCACATACACCTATAAAAGTATCGCCATAAGGACTTCTTAGTTGCAGCACGGATGCAAGCTGCTTTTTCATGTCTCCAATATATAAGGCTGGTGAATTCACGCCGTCTAGGCAGTCCAGCCTATACATCCTAACTCTCAATAACAACGCAAATTCAGTCCGCTTCTATAAAATGGAGAGCGATCGTGCAGTCTTAATCAGTCAGCAGAGATGAGCAGTAAGAGGTATGTCATCTCACGTTCTTTCCATCCTTAGATCTCCTTATTTACTCCTTGATTCTAGTACTCAAAAGGGTGCTTTTGTATCAATCTGACCTTTCTGTCATCAGTCCACGTGAAACAACCTGGACCTTCTTTGTACATCATATTGTAGGCATCTTCAAGCAACTGCTGATACATTCCTAGATTTTTTGGAGCGCTGTTTTTACCCTGCTCTATTAGCCGTGCCAAATCTAAGCAAATAGGGCTGAAAAAGTAATTTTTCAGAATTCTATTAACTCTGTTTTTTTAATACGTCTCCTTCTCACCGAACTCGCGTTTATACTCGGCAGATTCGCAGCCGACGACTTGCAAGTGAAGCAAACAAAGCGTATAATCGTGAAATTCCAATGGGATGCAGTGCAGAGGTGGATTCACTAGCTTCATCGCATCCTACTTATAACACAACATGGACGAAAAGAGTACGAAAAGGATCAGAAGTCAGGCCTCGATTTAGTTCATAAGGAATACTTGAAACGAAATGTCGTTAACTGTGTGTCATCAGGTCCCAGTGTAAATTTTTCGCTCAGTCAACGGAAAATTCGTGCAACCGAAGGATTTCACGTGACATCTGTTGCAAAGTTGTGACACTTGTCATGAGGGCAAAATTTGTGCCCTGATCTCAAAATACAAGTTTCTCATCCCTACGTCATCCACTGCAAAGAGAGCTAGAAGTGGCTACTTGACACGCGACTGCAAGCTGCAAGTTCGCCGAGTATAAACAGGATCCGAAAGTGATTGTATGAACGGAGTTTTTACAAATGATACTGTGAGAATCTTTTCATACCTGTGCAGCAAACGTCCACCACCATCGACGAACAGATTCAGGCCAGGCTTGCCATTGAATGTACGTCTTTTTGTAAGCTCTTCATAATAGAACAACTGCACTAGCAAACCAGGAGAAGGTTCTGATTTCTGTAAGACTTCAACTTGAGGGAGAAGAAGTGAACTTGGACATGATGATCTTACTTTCTTCTTTCCCTTTCCTTTCTCAGCAAGAATCTTTTGTATATATTCAGCGTTACGCTCGAACAAGGCTGACATAGCCTGAAAAAAATTCTCGGAGGGTCACGGAACGTATTCAAGTAGGACCGATCCCTTGTGATTTACGGGCAGAAGACACAAATATTCTCAAGAGTAAGAGATAATGAAGAACAAAGTGGTCCTTACATCCACTTGATAATTTTACTGGAACATTTCGTGGGTTTGTTTACGAGATGGGGTGTGCGAGAAGGTCTGGTCGAGATGGTCACTTCGAAAGTGTCATATCACTGCTGTAGTCTAGAAATGCGGCGAATTCAGTCTTCACAACGAATCACAGAGGCGAGCCGATGTGAAGCTTTTCCCCATTTTTTCTTCAAAGCGACCCTACTAAAACTTCCCGGACAGTATTGAGCGCTAAACCGCACTTCCCGGGCTAGTCTTGCACGGCGTGAAATTTATACGAAATCATTTGCATTTGGGCCTTTTGCCGATTTGACAAAACAGCTGTGATGTGTCTGAGCGATTCTTTTGAATCTTACCTCCGTCCATTTCAAACATAATCGTTGTTCACGTGTTGTCACTTTGTGACCAAAATAAAACAGGCGTTTAGTGGGACTGTCAGAAGATTGATTTGGCCAGCATCTGGAAAGTGAAGGAGGAAACCTCCTACAATTTGCGAAAGAAATCAAGTTAAAAGGCATCGAGTTAAAAATTCCATATCGAAGCCATCCAGAACGTCATAAAAGATAATTTCTCCCTCTCCTGCAGAGTTATTCCCTAGGTAGCCATCGCAACGCACTAACGCGTGGGCACACCGCACAAATCCAATTATTTCAACCTCACGATTGCTGACACAAAGGTGAAGTCCATTTCAACCTCTATAACTCTGCCCATCAAACTTTAGGTCTTTCCAAACTGGTCCGCTTGCTTCGTGGCAAACTCCGCCCATCGAACCCCGCCCACTTTGAACAATCGTCTTACTGAATATTTCTGCTAGACTTTTGTAGAGGAAGTAAGTGGGTTAGCGGCAACACTCTACAATGGACAGTATGAGCACTATGAGAGCTCTGAGCAGTTCCCCCTGTTTTTCTCATTCTGATGGGGAATACAAGCCTACAGAACACCATAAAACTAAAGCGGCGCTACGCGGAACTCGCGATTTTCGAATCACTGATCCATCTTCTATTCAAAGTAATTGGAATAACTGGTAATAATGAATGTTCTCAGTCGCGAGGAGCTCCGAAAAAAAGGTGGTGTGAAGGGGTTAAGAGAGACATCACGAAAGTCATGGTATATACAGATAGAGGAGATGCTATTGATAGAATGAAATGGGGGCGGCTGACTAAGACAACGGACCCTGGGGCGACAAACAATATTCTGGAACATACATACTTTATAGAGTTGTCTTCGCAGGCAGTAAAACACGGCTTCCACGGCTTGTCCACACCTTGGCGTCCAGCCAGAAACTGTATACGTTGAAAGTCCCTGTACTGGCTGCCGTACTTATGTATATCGTCGGCACTGAAAGAAAACAAATGCACTAAAAGAATACACTTTTCTACCTTGCAGTAATTTATTTATGTATATTCGAGATAGATCCACAAACTACTCAAACATGAGAAATGAAGAGAAGTGAACAAGAACGTTTTTGAAAGTGATGGAAGCAAAAAAGGAAGAGACAGTCAGAAAGGCGGGGAGAAATACCAGAATCCTAAGGTGGAAGCACGATAATGAAGCAGACATGCCATCAGAGATAGGCAGCTGACGACTAGCAGGTAAGAAGCGAAATATTCAGGCAGATAGGGAAGCTGTATGAAGGTAGTGAGGGCAGAAGTCGAACAACTCTTTTTTGGCCAAACTCGGAGGAAGCTCAACCCAAAGTTCGGTTTCTGGAAGTAGATTAGCTATTTTTGGTTCTCCTTCCTAAATTCCTCCCGTGCTAATATAGGGCTCACTACTCCCTGAAAGGTACTGCGAACCCGACCAGTCAGTAACTGAGGCTGCGACTGGTGTCGTTTACCTCGCATGACCCATGTATCTCATCACCCCTTGTATAATATGGTGGACACACCACTCTCGAAAGCCCAGCATGTATGGGAGAATTTTCCCAAAAGCCTGGGATCGTGTTTAATTCGCCTAGATCCCACTAAGGGTTGACAGGAAGGAAGAGGACGTTGGAGGTCAACTTTTGAACGTTGACGCGACATTTCAACCTTGCCTACTGTTCCAAAAAACACGGCCTATTCTCCCTATTGATGTTACACGACTCATCGAACTTACCTGTCTTCGGGGAATGTCAGCGAACTGTCTTTGATCGGAGTCCATGGTCCAGCAATCAAAGTGCGAAGTCCTGTTTGATGGCACCTTACAAAAAATGATTCAAATCGCTCACAAATACTCCTGTTAGGAGGTTATTCGAAAAAGTGAAGAAGAAACCGAAATTCCCACAATATTGGGGAGTTGTTAGCGGAACTTGGGCCCTAAACGGGACTCAAATCCGTACTTGCCCACAATTCTCCCATTTTGTGAGACTATGGGACGATATAACAGTAATTAGCAAGAACAGCAAATAAACTGAATTTTATCTCAAATGTGAACATCAAGTTAAAACTGAATTTTATCTCAAGTGTAAATATAATAGTAAAACATAGGTGAAGGCTTTCACCAGTGATTCATTGATCCATTGATTTGTCTCAGGAGATAGTAATTTTTGTGATGATTAATAACGACCGGTTTATTAACTCACTTCTTCCGGGTGACAATAGCATTTCCGACCAGTCGGGCTTGAGTGAGATGCCTTGTTGTAAGAGCTATTGAATAGAGGGGTGTTGCTTGCCCTACAGAATCAATCACATCAGGAACGTCTAGCACATCCATCAGATCTAAAAAGGAAGACTCCATCATGTTACTTCGGTTGAGCGCTCCCTCTTACCGTAACGGGCATTCTTTCTTTTGAGGTCTTCGTCCTTGATATTCCGCAGAATGTGGGGATCCACTGGTGCAACGGGACCGCTGTCAAGCAGATATGGTGCCTGGTAGTAGGGGAAGAAAGCTTTCGCCAAACAGAGCTTCTTTATGTCAGTCACACATGTGTGGAAACATGGGGCTCGTTCAGTCTGAATGTTTGAACTTTTACAGAAGTGTAAGGAAAATAAGGTGATGTCTAGATTTAGATTTATGCCCGGAAATTTAGTCTCTGGGTCAGCACGTGCCTGCCGTTTTTGCTGCCACTAACCTTATTCCCCTCCTGATAGAAACACCATGGTCCAAATCGGTGATTGTCCGGATTCCTACAGTGGTTTTCATGCTGTGACAACGATGTCGCAAACACCTTCAGTGTGGTGTAGTCAACAGATGGCGACGAAAAGCTGGAGAAACTCTTCAAAGGAAATTTCACTGGCGCTTCATCCCATCGTATGCATTGCTTGCCGCTGAAATTGTGCGTTGGCTTCATTTCATATCGAGTTATATTAGGAAAAATTCAAACATTCGTCCAATTATAAAATCAGCACTAATAAACCTCGTTTTGAAATTATAACTACAACTATTTTAGTTACAGCGAATCCTTACTTGAAAGTGAGGGACTGCCTCCCTCGATACCATGCCATACGGTCCTTTGACGGTCTGCATGTGAAACGATGGTCATTGCCGAATATTTTGGTGGAAGTCAACTCTTTCAGCCCATTTTTCTCCCTGCAAAAAAAATCGCAACACCAACTTGGGAACCTGCCGATGACTACTCAGACTACAACATGTTTCAGTACCACTCTGGGTAACATTATAGCCCAAGAACTGAAAAACGATGCCCTAAATTTTTTCATTAGCAATGGAAAAGTGAAGAAATGGCTGATGGAGCATGACGTGCACTTCCCTAAAAGTAACCTTCACGACGAATTCGTCTTACAGCTTCGGAGCCCTGCCTCCTTATCCTACATGGATCGTACATCCCTACGGGTAAGACGCTGAAGACTGAGATCGGAGTTATATTGAATACTCTCTTAGAACACGGAATAATCCTACTTACCTGAGGCACATGCCAAGCCTAAATCGTTGCTCATCACTCGGCGACAAGATATCCTTGTTGAGACAGCCTGCTTTGTCTAGACCCGGTGCATCTAGCTTATCACGGCATTCCGCGTTGCAGTGGAACTGCGGAACATTCAGAATCCATCCCTCGTTCTCCTCCTTAGAACCTGAAGAAACTCATTTAGAACGTTTCCATCTGAAGCAAACCAAAGCCCTAGAACTAGTTCGCCAAAAAGACTGTCTACTGCTAAAGCGCTTTCGGACCAGTCACTTCGCCAACTCCACGCATCTTTTCGAAATAGCCGAGTTCTGTACGAAGGAAGACGAAACGCTAGCTTTGACTCACAAACCCCGCCTCCACGGAGACTACGCCCCCTAACCTATACTGCGCGAGTGGGCCAATACGATGGATCAGGAATTATATACCACTTTCGATGCGATGCCAAATCTCAAACCAACAGATAGGTTCGAGAACAAGCTTCAAAGATGCCTCAGGAGACCAATACTTGAGATCATGTTAATAACCGTCTGATTTCTCCGTCTTTCAACTCCCTTCATTGCCTTTACGGTCACATTTGGCGAATATTCTCATTTAGTTGGTCGAATATCCCAGAGCAATGATCGTTGACCTCATAAGCATAGAATATTGTGATAGAATGAGAGGTTTTCAGAAACCTAGCATCTGACAGTAGGTAAACTCTGAAAGCGGGCAGCTTAGAGTGTGATGATCGATGTGAAAGAAATGATGCAGCGATGAAAGAAACAGGAACTGAGCTTGTTTCTCCTCTTTTGCTAAAAAACCATGAGACAATCCATCTCCATCGAATTTCTGGTATCTTTCGAAGGCAGTTTCTGTATTCTGCAGTGCTCCTGAAGGTTTAGAGGAAAAATATACAGAACAGCGATGAGGGCTACGACTCCCCTCCACAGCGAGTGCAGGCCTGTAGGCAAGAATCCTGAGAGGCAACTTTATTCAGGTGACAGGAGACTGTGTTGGAATAAGTAAACCTCGACGGAGTAGGAGAAGGAGAAGACCAGCATATAAAATATATTTCTAGTGCTAAGATGTTATTAAAGTACGAGCTTTCTGATGTAATCTTATCTCACCATTGATATCGACATAACTGATAAGGGAACCCATATAAATCTATCGAGGATTGATAATGTTCACTTCCCACCGTCTTGCTCCAAGGTATGAACATCTTCTATTGGGAGCAGTTCCCTCTGAAAACTGACTTTTTTCCATAAGATGTAAAGAAGGGATGACTTTGTCCCCCTTACATTTCCCAGTCGAAAAGAGAGGAATGAGATTTCAGCTCAGTGGCTGTTTCCATTGAAGGTTTCGGTACTGAAGGATGCTTTTACCCATAATCTTCGTTTAGGATGACTTTCACCGCATATCCCTACATACTAGTTGTTTGTTACTAACCGCAAACATTGTGCTGTGAGGAGAGATACTGTGAGTTCTAGTACATTGTTTCTTACTTACAGGGGTCGTGTTTATAACTGTTTTCAGATGGGAAAGGCCTCTACCAGACCGGACCTGAGTTAATTCAGTCATATCGTATGGACGAATATTCTATAGAGAAGCTTGACACAAGTCGAAACCCGGGCTAACTAACATAAACTTACTCAGTTTCAATTACGGTTTTAATTAATAAAAGTTAAAAGGCGTATTTGTGAAGTTTTTGGAAGAGTGAGGTCCTCCCACCACCGATGACAGACCTAAGGATTGAAAAGATCGTAAGCAGCGATTCCATTCCAAAGGAGATTGGGATGAATTCACGGTTTTTGAATACCCTGAGCAAGCGCACGGAGTCTGAACAAGTTTCTAAACCGCAATCGACTTTCCAGGGCGGAAAGCATGAACTTGGATATGGTCATCATCTGGCGCTTTGAAGGCACAGGCCACGGTAGAAACGGTTTCTGAGAACTATGCATCTGATGAATCTGTTGCGTTCTAGTATACCACAGGTGGCGCTGTCAGATCGGTGAACGGTCTGGTAGATCGTTCTGAGGATTCAGAGATTTTATGGGTTGAATGTCATACACATAGCGGACTGGAATGTGGACCTACGTGCGTCCGAGGATGCGCGCGGCAAATTGCGTGGCGAAGTTCGTAACGACTTGGACGACTTCAGCGCCTATCATTGGGGCCCAAATTCGAAGTAGAGTAGATCCGGAGGATCATCTGACTCTGCTAAACTACTCTACTTTGAGTTTGGACCCTGAAAGTTGGCATCAGAGTCGTACGAATAGTCAAGAATTCGTCGCGCAAGTTGCCGCGCGCGGAGTGTGGTGCGTTAGGAACGAAATGGTCGCGCCGCGGTGAGAAGGGCGTCGCGCGCGAAGGAATGTAGTAGGATGCAGCAGTAGATAAGAAATACAAGAGCAAAAGTACTAATAGTAGAATTATGCATAAAATAACGATCGCATATCGATTAAGCTGTATGAAGAACGCTAGAGATGTAATAACTGCGAATGAGTGGTTCGCGACAGCCGCGTGCGGCAAACCGATTACCCAAAATCGTTCCCAACCCCCGTCTCCCCCGCGCGCGTCCTCGTACGCACGCAGTACACCTCCCCCATAGCAGACGAGTTCCAGCGGTGTTCCAGCGACTGTACTATCTCAAGGAACTCCCATGTTGGAAGATCAAACAACTTGTCATGACCTATGGCGACAGCAGGAAACAGTTTCAGACAATTTTGGTTCGATGAAGCCAGCTCCTAGCGCGATTGCAACAAATGAAATCTCGTCCGAATACCCCTTCCATGCCATTTCTTTCATGGTAACGCGTGAGAAAAGTAGAGTTTAAAGGCACTGTTGACAAAAAAGTAAGGATACCCTTTTTTTGACGGTAATGGGTAGAACTACTTCAGAATAAAGCGATAACAACGAAAAAGCGCAAAAAAACGAGCAACAAAAAGTATTACAAAGGGACAAAAAAAGTGCTAGAAAGTGGGGTTGGACATCTTTCACATTGGAAAACGGCGGTTATGGAGTGTTCGGACGAGTGCACGAAGGCGACGCAATGTGTTGTCTGCAATAGCAGACATCACATTGCGTCTCTGGCAATTTGCCAACCAGCTTATCGACTTTTCACCAGCTTCGCTCCAGTGCGAACGTGTTGAAGGACAACTTGAACACGTAGTCAGCCTAACGAGGGGCGGAGGCATCGCGTCCCCCACTGTTCCTGGCCTTATTGTGCCCTATCCAGCCCTTTTCCGACCTAATTCCTGCACAAATGTTATCAGAGGGGGCTCAGAATTCTAACCATGTGCATATCTTCGAAACCATTTAGTCGTTAACAGTGCCTTTAAGAGCTTTCCACGAATAAACTGATAGTGCGATTGCAAGGGAGCTTCTTGAGACAAAGTTGTTAAGGAAAACCATCGGAATGGAGGCACTGTCGATAAAAGATATATAAAACATTTGAAAAATCGAACAGAAGAAATAATACATATTAGCCCGGGGAGAACTCAGCTGGAAAGGGTCCACGCTTTAGGCCTTTCATAGTTTGGCATCAATCGTCGAGCGTTAACCTTCCGTAGGCCGCGTCAGCCATTGGAGCACATTATTTTGCAAGCTAACTTGTGCAGAGCTATTTTCTAACGATGTATACAAGTAAGAAGGAAAGAGTAGCAATGGGAAAAGAAACGGAAACACAGAAAAATCGAAAGCAAACCACGTTGAAGCAAGGGTGACCAATGAAAACAGGAAGAAAATGTGGAAATTATCAAAATACTGTGAAAAGCCAAACCAAATGAGAATTATCAAGCCACCAATGCCAAAAAACAGAATAATTTCTTCTACAAAAAGTGCGGAGTTGTACAGGTGAACGTAAGGTTCGGAAAAGTCATTCAATACCATCGGCGACGGGTCCATGAAGGATATCGATTGACGACCGACGCCGTAAAAAGCATGGCAGCGGTTGGGCGCATTCAGACTTCAACGAAGCAACCGGCGACCGACCGACCGACGGGGCGCTGACCACGAGTTGACAACGCAGGACACCGATGGTTCCCGCGCCCTCACGAGTCACGCGGCCTTGAACGCAGTCTGTCCAGCATTAACAGCCCGTGGCCAGCCAGCCATCGGTCAGTCGGTCGGTCGTTGAAGTCTGAAAGCAGTCGTCGACGCCAAGCTACGAAAGCGTCCCCCTGGACCAATCCCTCACTGGGAAGCCCTCTCAAACTACGTTTTAACTGAACATCCCTTTTTGGCATCCTAATTAAACGGATAGAACTCTCACCAAAAACTAATAGCCATGGTATGAGAAGTAATCGATACATCCAGATAAACCGATGTAGCTGACTTCACCAACGAAAATGAGTGTTTCAACATTTCGAATGAAAGTTAAGCAGAACGGAAAAGTCGGAAATTCTACAGATTACGCTAACAACACAGTTCTAGATACATGCAGAACACCTGAAGAGGAGGATGACTTTCCATGGAAAAGCCATCATGGACGAGAACATTTGAATTGCCTTCCTGGTTGTCATGGGTCAGAATAGCGGCCGTGGAGCAGAAATGTGGTGAAGTATAGGTATAAGTATTTCGCGTAGTCAACTGAAGAATAGACAGATCGGGGCGATCACTGGCTTTGGCCTGCACAATATTAGGCTATCGAGGGTTAAGAATGGATCCAGTTCTGAAATGGCGATTCCTGTCCCGAATGAGAGTGGAATATCCCAAAACACTGGCGGGGCAGTGCTGGTTGCTGTAGGACTGTAGCCGCTAGGCGCACTATTCTCCGGGGTACAGGAACCTCTCCCGAATCCACGTGGCCAACTGCATTGGTTCCACGGCGACTACCGTATATTTCCCCTGTGGATTCAAAATTTTCTCTTCATAGCGCGCGACACGCCGTTTGGGGATATGATATCACACCCACTCCCATATTGGTGTTGACAGGCTTTTTCCAAGAACACCTGGGGGCTATTTGATCAGTTGAGCGGGGCTGTAGGAAAAACGAAAATGTAACGGGACGCGTGTTTCCCTGAGCGAAGAAAAATTCTCAGAACGGTCAATTTCCTCTCATGATTTTGAGCAGAATGACTGTTCTCTGGCGATGGAAGGCAACTGTTGACAAGTGAGGTGCAACGTGGGTAAACCATTATATATTCTCGACCAGTAAAGCCTCCCACGATGATTTTCAGAGCGACTAACCCAGTTCAACATAAACATCACCCATCACTTTGGAAAATCGTTGCAGATCTTTCTGGTTTGTCCATAGGCGTGGGCATAGCCAGAAAATTCTCTCTGAAGGTGGCAATTATGGAAATTAAGATCGTTGGACTTCGAAACGTATGGAGATACACGGATAAGCCACGATCTCAGACACATGGCCTGTTCGTATACTTCATGACAGTTATTAGCAACTGCAACTCTTCGTACTCGAAATTCCGTGGTGGATTCCACAGAATCTTCTTCCCGAACATTCAAGCTCGAAATCGGGAAAACACAATTTGCCCTTGTAAGCTGTGGGGCACTCTACAGAGGAAGGTAAGATAGAAAATAGAGGGTAACAAATTGAAGTACTGCCAGAAGGTTGGCTTGTGGATTGTAGGTTTTTGAACGAAATCCATTCTTGAAATCGAGCTTTTCAATTTTGAGCCCGGGACAACATCGAACGGAGCCGAACGTGAGAATCGAATGGGAGGTGAAAAACAAAGGTGCTTCCATATAGGTACACTCTAAAGTCCGCTCTTTAGCGGTTAAGAAAACGGAGACGGATCGCGAAATGCACCAACGTATGAGGCACTCAAAGGGAAGCATGTAAATTACATTTTTTATAATGTATTTGTTTAATAGGTAGAACTCATCCCCATGTTTCATCAGCCAAGTAAATACGCGACGTCACTGAGTGCCAGACTGCCAGATGATAGGTTTCTGTATATAAGTTGTGCCGACATAGGCAAAACATGTTCTCATTTCAACAGCTTCTACATTTACCTTACTCATCCACTACTCATTCCTATATTACAACATCAAAGGTTTCTTCCTGGAAAGATACCCATCATTTCCAGGCATATGGGGGCCGGTTATAGGGAGCCTGCCACCATGCCTTACAATTACTTTTCATATGACTCCACCAATGCATGATGAAATTGGATGCAGAAGATTCTCTTTGTTCAGGATGAAGCTACTTCTGTTCACCTTGTTCACAGTCGCAGTATCTGTCGTTCGAGCCCACGAGCCGCTAGAAGACATCAAGGATGAAGTGATCATGACTTTGCAGGAATCCCCTGAGACGAAGAAATCACTCGAAGAGAGAATCAAGGTTTACGACTCCACTTAATAGTCCTACACATCTGTCCCGTACTGTCGTCAACTTGCATTGGTTCTATTCACACTTTAGAACTTCCAATATGAACAGTGATTTCAGCAAGAGCCGAAAATCGATTTCGTTCAAGTCAAGCCGATTGGAGACGACATAAA